GCAAAATCCCGTATTGATATCGCATGCAGAACTTTGACACCCCGAACCTCTGTTGCATGCTTGATCACATTTTGCTCCCCACCAACCATCTCTACATTGATAACGACATGCCCCAGAGTCCTTGTCGCACATCAGTTGCCCGCTCGAAGACAACTTACAATTAAAACTACATGTAAACTGACAGATGGTTCCGTATTTACTTGAAGTGCAGTTGGCACAGTAGCCTGTGTCACGAAAGCATTCACTACATCCAACGCAAGCCCTGTCGCATCTTACGCCGTAAAATCCTTGTTTACAACCAGACTTACATACACTGGTATTTTGATCACACGCGTTATCAGTACATCCCGTACTGCAAAGAGTCTCACATTTTTCTCCAAAGTAACCATCTTTGCATTCAGAACAAATGCCTGACGACCGAGCACATAGACCACCCTTACAGTTCGAACTACAAGAAAGAGAACAATTTCCGCCGTAGTACTCAGGCAAACATTGAGACAGGCAGGTTCCGTCGATTCGGTGACATCCGTTTGCGTCACATGTTGGACAAGTGCTATTGCAGAAGATTCCCCAAAAGCCCCCTTTACAACCACTGCCACAAACTCCATTACTTCTGGCACATACTCCACCTATGCAGCCAATGCTACAGTCTAACTCACAGAAGTTTCCATAGAACCCAATCTGACAATCTCCGACGCAATAAGCTGTTGTTTTATTACAACTTCCTGCACAGGAAGCACTACACTGAAATGAACAGTAATCTCCAAAATAGCCTTGTACGCATGAACCAATACATTTTCCGTCGTTTTTATTACACAACCAAGTTGCACAGGTAGTGTTACAGGTTTTATCACAATAATCACCATAACGGCCATCAATACAGGCATTGCAAACACCAGTTCCTCGATCGCAACCGCCTCGGCAGTAAACACTGCAAATTGAATTACAAGTTGGTCCATAGTACCTATCTGAGCAAGGGTTTGTGCAATATCCGTCATTTCTTCTGCATATATTCTGCTGACAATTACCATTGCATGCTAATGTGCATGTTGGACCATAGTAACCCTGAATACAAGCATCACAATTTCCGGAGATTTTATTACAGGTACCGTTTAAACAATTTCCGTTGCAAGATGACTTACAATACTGACCGTGGAACAAATTGTCTCTACATAATCCGATGCACGTTCCGTCCGATATGGCACATCCGTTGCTATCGCAGTTGGCACAGCTTTGTAAGCAATAATCTCCGTAGTATCCAGTAGGGCAATTTAAACAAAGTCCTGTCGATTTTTGACAAGCGCCTTGACAGGTGCTTTGGCATTGCGATGCACAATGGGAGCCATAAAAACCTACATCACAGTTGGCTAAGCAAGCGCCTGTTCTGTCGTTACAACCGGCGTCGTCACATGTACTACATGTCTGGTTACAGTATGTACTGTAATACCCTGTGTCGCATCCAATGGTACAAGCCCCTGTGGTTTTATCGCATGTGTCACTTTTACAAAAAGCGCTACACTGAGTTTCACAAAAGTTTCCGTAATGACCGGTTTTACATTGGCCAAAACAGAATCCAGAAATAAGATCGCATGATGATGAACACTGACGGCTACATAAAATATCACATTGTTTACCGTAATACCCTGTACGACAACCACCAATGCAGTCTCCATTTTCTTTAAGACAAGTTCCAGAACCACAGTTCGCATTGCAATTAAACTGACAATATTTACCATGTTTACCAGCGCTGCAACTACTAACACATGCACCGCTATATCTATCACAGGTATTATCTGCGCATGCTGAATCACAGAGTTCGTTGCAATAATTGCCTTTATTCCCATTTGGACAATCATATGTACAATAACCAGAGGTTTTGTTACATTTGTTACTGATGCAAAATGAATTACATGTTGATGCACAAGTTGGACCGTAATAACCATCTCTGCAAGCAGAGCATTGACCATCAAGCTTATAACATGATGCGGTAGCGCAGTTTTGGCTACAAAGTTTTTCGCACTTTTCTCCAAAATACCCTACCTGGCACTCTCCAAAACATTTACCCTCGGCTTGATTGCATCCCTGACTGTCACATTTGCTGCAAGTTGAATTGCAGAAGGCCTCATAATAACCGATGTTACATTCCGAGCAGGTACCATTAAAACGTTCACAGGTTCCACCTTTGCACTGTGGGCCGCATACTACTGAGCATGTTGGATTATAATAGCCTGGTTTACAAGAGCCTAAACAGACACCAGTAGATCTGTGACAACCAGAGGAATCGCAGTTTGGGTTACATATGTTTTCACAGGTGTTGCCAAAATACCCCAATGCACAGCCGTTACTACAATATCCCGTATCTTTTCCACACATACGGTTATTACAAGTCTGACTACACGTACGGTTACAGGACGGCCCATAGTATCCTACTTTACAAGAAGCGATACAAAAGCCATTCGATCTGTTGCAACCAGCAGCGTCGCAATTCGGACAAGTTAAGTCACAGAAGTTGCCAAAATAGCCAACGTCACAACCCGTTTTACAATGACCTGAAGATCGAATGCATTTGTTATCGTCTCCTAAGCAAGTTTCCTGGCAGAGCATAGAGCAGTAATCACCAAAACGTCCACGTGGACAAGGATTGTCACACATGCCAGTAACCTGGTTGCAAGAGCCATTACAGTACTCGACACACTTAAAATTGCATTTATATCCATAGAACCCAACGTTACAAGAACCAATACATGAACCAATGGAACGATCACAAGTTCCCGACGAGCATTGATTACTACAATTCTGATTGCAAGTTAAACCGTAAAATCCGTCATTGCAAGCATGACAATACCCTGTATATCTCTCGCATGTGTTTTGAAAACATGTTGAACTACACCTTTCCGTGCAAGTTTGGCCCCAAGAACCTATTGAACAATTCTGAGAACAGTAACCGGTATCTTGTTCACATAAATTTGACGGACAATTTCCATTACAAGGCATCGTACAATTAAACCCGTAAAAACCTACTTTACATTTCAAACATTTCCCAGAAGTTCGATCACAGAACTGATTTTCACAATTTGCGCTACATTGAAGATCGCAATTAGCCCCGTGATATCCAGACAAACAAGACCCAATGCACACACCAGTTTCAAAAGAGCAACCTCGTGAATCGCAATTTGGACATGCACTTTGACATTTTCGACCATAAAATCGACCGTTAGTACAACTGAAACAACCACCAGAGGTTTTTGAACAAACGGAGCTATTACAGTTAGAACTACAAAACTGAGAACAGTTGGCACCGAAATAACCAACCTTACAATCTCCTATACAATCTCCACTGCTTTTCTGACACGCATCTTTAAGGCAGCCAAATGAGCAACGTTCTGTGCACATGCTACCGAAATATCCAGGATCGCACTGACTGTTACAGATTCCACTTGACTTATCACAGCCAGTTGAATCACAAGGCGCACAAGATTGGTTACAATATAATCCGTATAAACCTGAGATGCAGTCGAGCGTGCATACTCCTGTTGTCCGATCGCAATTGTTAGACGAACATCCAGCGGTACAAAGCTTTTCACAAAAATCGCCGAATCTGCCGTCTTGACACTTGCCAGAACAAAAACCCGAGTCTTTATTGCAGTTACCACTACATGAACTGACACAAGTCTTAGAGCAGTAGTCACCAAAAAATCCATCTTTGCAATCACCAACACACAATCCATCGGATCTAGAGCAATATCCAGTCTTACAGTTTGGATTACATGGATTCGTGCAGATGTCTCCATAAAATCCAGGCTTGCATCCAGTTGAACATACTCCGGTGTCTCGATTGCACTTTCCATCACATCCGGTACTGCAGTTCTTATTGCAGAAAGGTCCGTAAAATCCAGTAGGGCAGTCGTACGTGCAGTGGCCATCATTCCGTTCACAGGTCTTCAGATAACAAGCAGAGTTACATCTTTTTTCACATTTTTCTCCAAACCATCCAGCATCGCACGACCCGGTACAATTTCCTGACTGCCTTTCACACTGACAAGCTCCGCAAGGAGACTCACAACGATCATCATAAAATCCATTAACACATCCGGTTGTACAGGTGCCGTTTGTATAGTAACAGCTTTGTTGTACACAAAAAGGTTCGCAGGTATTTTCACAACGTGTTCCCCAGTAACCATGACGACATCCTCCAAAGCAGCTACCGGTGGTTCCGTCACATGAATTTACACAATTGACGCTACACAGGTAACAATTACCCCCAGCACTGTAATAATTACTGTCACACCGATCACATTTTTCTCCAATCCAACCAGTATTACAACCGCTAGCACAAATTCCGGTTAAGCCATCACATGTTGATCCTGACGTCACCGCTCTACATCCCTGGCTACAGGGTTGACAAGTCGTTGATGAGGGGAAGTAACCACTATTGCACCGTGAGCATGACGTCACACCAGATTCTTGCCTGCATGTCTGACAATTCGTTATGACACACTGGCCTGTAAGTAGAATTTAAATGCCTGTAAAAGGTAAACAAGAGACCCACGGGCCTTATAGGTCACCTGAGTAGAATGTAACAACTTTCCAACAATTGAATTTGGTTCGTGTTTTAAACCAGAGGTCATGAAATTCACAACTTTGAAAAAATGCACCATAGTCTTATCTAGGGCTGTGCAAATAAATCGATATTTCGGTACATTGCAATACAATGACAAAAAATATCGTATTGTAATACGCTTTTGTAATATCAATGTATCGGCAAAATGCTTGGACTAAGTGATTTTACCATTAAATATAAAAATACATGTAAGAAAGGCTTGTTGTTATTAACCTTACAGTAAGACAGAAGCTGTTTTGTGGATGTATTTCAGAGCATAGCTTTAATACCATCAACAAGATTTTTTTTTCAGTTTGGTTACTTTTAAAGATTTGAGCATTCTACTATGAATTAATGTGAATATACATGTCTGTAATAATACAATGCCATTGTAATTTTCCTTGAAAATACTGCAATACATATTGCAATACAATTAAAAATATCGCAATACAAAATTTCTGGTCAATACCCAGCTCTAATCTTATCAGAATTCTACACTTAGCATGCTTACTCTGGTTACCTAATATCCAGAGGTAGCTATAGATCAGAGTAAAAAAGACAAAATGCACTTCCACTTTATAACTAGTTGTGCACCTTACCCCACAGGAAACACTGACCCTGGGACCACAATTAAATTCTAAAAATTTGTGTTCGTATTCACCCATTGATGCTGTATACCAAATTTGTTTGAAACTGGTTTGGTGGTTTCAGAGAAGCTGAAAATATTTAAATGTTAACACACAACACACAGCGACGGACAAAAACAGATAGCAATAGGTCACCTGAGTGACTCAGGTGACCTACAAATAATATAATGTTAAATAAAAAAGAAGTCTATGAGCTAATCCTCACTAGAAATACCCTCGCTCTGATGTGAATATACACTATGATAAGTTACGAGAGATAAACAGGAAATTGTCAAACCAGAGAGAAAATTTGTTTTGTACATGTATGATACAGAGGTACATAGATAAACAAAATTTGACACCATCTTTAAAATAATAAAAAAATCCCACCTTATGACCTTCCTAAGCAAAGAATTTGCTTTGGTTTTTTAAAAAAAACTGGGTCGAAAATGTTATGTATGGAACATATAGATGCACGGATTAACATCAAATTAATATCAGATTTGAACAAAAATAGATCCCATCATTTAGAAAAACCTGTAAAAAAAAATGCTTAGATTTCAGGTATGTGTGATCTGAGAAAACTGCGATGAAAAATTTATTACGAATAGAGAGACAGACACACAAGGGTAAACCGGTATACCCCCATTCTTTCGAAGCAGGGGTATAATAAATTAAAGTAATTGCAAATACTTAGATACATGCTTTCATCTAAGTAGTAAAATCAGTAAGCTATGTATCTATCCGTTCAAAACGTTATGTTACGAACAATGATATTGCTCATTACACTGTGTTACCGTAAACCCCAGTGGATATCACAAGCAAGAAATTGGCGGCGATGAGCATAACTACATGTAGTCAAATTGTTTTCATCTTATGGAAGCTCTATTCCAGCCTTGCACAGTAACGTCAATGATGCTCTGATGAATAAAAAAAATAATACAAGTGTAACTTGAAAAAAAACAAGAGGCCCAGGGGCCTTATAGGTCACCTCAGTATCTCGTCACATCTTTCTAACAATTGAATTTGGTTCGTGTTTTAAACCAGAGGTAATGAAATTCACAATTTTGAAAGTGACACCATTGCTTATCATAATCATTAACTTGGCATGCTTACGTGTTTACTTATTACACATAGGTAGATCAGAGTAATAAAGAGAAAATGCACTTCCACTTTATAACCAGTTGTGCACCCCACCCCAAAAGAACAACTGACAATGGAGCCACACATTTCAAAATGTTGGAAATTTTATCATAAATTTTATTTCATCATAAATGGTTGATTAATACTAAAGAGCAGATTTCAAAGCATTAATTTATTTTCAGACTATGTGACACCCCCCCCCCTTCCGATAAATCTGACCAGGGGGCATGAAATTAACCATTTTGCTAGATGGACCTTTCTTCATCATAAATATATATCTAAGATCATTAGCATAATACCCAGGAGCAACGAAAAAAATTTTAAATGAA